ATCCTTGGATCCCCAGGTGTCTGCGAGAGGTATCTTGGGGGTCCACAATTTTTTTTACTAAAATGTTAATTTGGTTTTTATTTTTAAAAATGCATGGAGAACAATGAACTAATAAAACAAACATAATAAACTTAATAAATATATGCATATTCTCATGGCATTTAGGGGTTGAAATGACAATAAATCATCTTTTAAAACAGCATGGGGTTTATGAGGGGATCCCTGGGATTTTTTTCGCCCTTGTAAGGGGTCCCCGGACCCAAATGGCTTGAGAACCCCTGCAATAAAGGTGTGGATTATATCTGATTGGTGGCAGTGGAATTACATACTGTGAGTTGGCATCAAACCTCTATTATAAGGAACTATTTGAGGCACTCTTRAAGAAAAGGCTAGTTTGTCTGTGTTTGGTCTGTAATTAGTGGAATACTGTCAGTTATAAGTTGTATTTGTCTATATTTTTATTAAGGTCGTTATATAACCTTAGTGTCTGCAGTGTATTAAGTGTTCAGATGCATGAGCACTGATCACTGTTGTTATCCACTTCCTAATGCTCCTCCTGTGTTACATGACTTTGCCCCCCTAACAACCTGTGCTCCACCACTTGGCAAAAACAGTGCTGCTTCTGCCTTTAAATGTTTCTGGATGTTTCCAGACTCTGCTGGGGGCTTTTTTTTTTTTCAAAACCAGTGTCAGACAACTTCCGTCAGTTCCTTTAACTTGACACCCTTACAAAAAATGCAAAAATTCAAAAAGCTTTTAAGGAATTTCAGGGGCGACTGTTAAAGTGTCAGATTATTGTCAGATTATACACCAAAATGAGATTGGAACTTGAGTGCTTCAACTTTCAGCTGTAGTATTTTGTACAACACAGACAAATGAACAAAACACTGCAAAGAATAAAAAGAGAAAGAAGTTTATTTGAGATTTATTTTGGAGCTGTAGCTCAGACTTATACTTCACAGCAGATGAAATAATTCTCAGGAAGTTGGACTTCACAAGTCTGTTAGCATTTTGATATTTTGCATCTTTTTTTYCGCACCGTCAGAATTTAAATGTTATGATTTTTACAGATTTGACCACAGAATGCTCAGATGATGTCACTTTGGAAAAGTGAAAAACATTCCTATTTGCACAAACACTTTCTAAACCCCACAAAGGTTTTGGTACACATAAAATTTATACTTATACTAAACATATATGTTTTTTATGACATATGTTTGTTGGATAGACCCAGGAAGGCAGAAATCCCAAAATGCCATTTATTAAACAAAAACAAAACGGGGCACAGGTTGAGAAGACACATAAAAAGACTAACCATTAGTCAGTGCTTTATATTTTCTTGAACTTAACTATTTTCTTTTTTTACATTCCAATGCATATCACCTGTTTGATGATGTTTTTTCCCTCTAACTCAAACCATCCCTGCAGCTCTGCATGTCCAAAGAATGAGCTCAAATTCTTTTATCCTCGATGAAAAACAGTTTCTTAGTCCAGTATGTGTTGCATGTTTTGTTGCCAAGGTAACAAATCTGTTCTTGTTGCRAAGTAAATAACTCAGATTTTCTGCAGGCCGTGCCACTGTGGAAACGTTTCAGCTTGAACCTTTTCAGAGAACAACCTCCTGGCTGTCAGCGCAGCTTTATCTGGGAGATGTTTCCAGTAGCATTCTCAGTCGCTGAGCTCTCGTTCTTSAGTGTGTTCATCGAGACGCGCAGACTCTTCTGTGGCTAAAGGTGTATGGAGATTACCCCCCCACCCCACCCCCGCATCTGTTTGTGTGCAGAGGCCAGCCCTTCTCTGTCAACGAGCCACATTCTTTCCCCTCTCTCTGCAGCTAATCGCTCCGTTCAAGTGGACTGATTAGATTGTCCAGGCATCCACTGCTTCTGCCGCAGTTTGAGCACGAAGGGGATAAAAAGAGAAAGAACGAGGCTGATTTTTTAAATGCATATAATCCCCAAAAGCAGCATGAAACATTTRGATCCACTGCTCATAAGTGACAAAGCTTTCATTTTCTTTCAATTTCTGCAAAGAAATCTTTTTACTGTCTGTTGTGTCATTCTACTCAAACCTGAGCCCAGTTTGTTTCTTTTTCTCTTTTACATGTACAGTATATAAAAACTGTGAGGGCAATTCTGATGGTTTATTTTAATATTATTATTATTTTTTATTATTATTATTTGCAGTTTAGGCAGACAGAGGTTAAATCTACAGAGGAATGATTGTTCTACAAAGAAAATGCTGTCTCTTTCCAAGTATTCATGCATTAAAATACTGAAATGCAGTTTTTGTTGGATTTAAAAAGACATATATCACCAGAAATTTATAAAAATCAACACGTTTAACACTTATGTGGCCCATGCCACTTTGACAACAAGCTTTTCATTGGTTTAAGATTTGTTCATCAAAGGGATGCATGTAGCCCATAATAATGCATGTTAAAGTTTTAAACATTTATTTTGCACAATTTCTTTGTGCTCTGAGTAAACACTTGGGATGACTCTCAGCTTCAATTACACCAAATATTATCTAAATATCTGTAAAGTTGACAGAGTGGTAGGTGTTTCTGTGYTTGATAAATTTGATTATCTGTAGCAGCCATCTTGGAGTGTGAGGGCTTCAAAAGGGAATCAGTTGTAGATTTTCATTTAATGATTTACATTTTTAGAGCTTCAACAAAGTCTTTTTGGTGGTTTCTGAAAAAGTTTGCAAACAGACAGACAAGGTTGACTCCAACAATTAAAGCAAATGCTTTAAGTAACAAATGTGCACAATGTGGAAACCTTAAAAGTGACAGAGTTGTAGYCATCTTTGTGTTTTCCAAKTCCAGTTGGCYGTGGCGAAACATTTTAACATTTTATGTTTTCTGCCCCAGTGCTACAGGCCCAGGACGGCTGCCAGCCTGGTCCAGCAGCAGGRAGGCAGATCATCCAGTGCATCAGGTGTGGGGGGTCCTGCAAAGGGGAGGTGCTGCGAGTCCAGAGCAGATACTTCCACGTTAGGTGTTTCACCTGCAAAGGTGAGTCAAAATCAGATAAGTGATTTGTAGCTATAGGGACAACATGTTTTAGGGCCTATACGGCCCCTCATATCAGCGTTTTTATTTTCGTCCTAATTTACTCGAAACTTAGCCCTGAGACACGGGAGCAGTGTGTGGTGTAGTTTCAGTCAAGAAGTTGAGAAGTGGATGTAAGGTCGACTCAACACTCTGGCCAAACATTGATTACATTAATATTTGGGAATATCTGATCAAATCTCCATTCAACTTCCACCAAAGAGTCACTGAAGGCCTACAGATCACTAGAAATATAGCAAAATTCACGTCTCACATGTGYCTCCTTTTGAAATGAGTAGTCATGTGATCATAACATCCCTATTTTTACAAATTGATCAGATGAGCAATACAAGAGGAAAAGAACACAGATGATACGAGAAGTTAATTATCACATTTCACAATAAACCAAAAAGTTATATAATCTTACCAAGCTTGCATTATTCAGTTCTCTTCATAAACAAAAGCTCTAAAAAACAAAATGAAAAAAATATATATTTGCTGAAATTCTTACTGCTAAATTAACCAAACTAAGCAGTAAAACAAACACCACATGACTGTTTAAGTTCCTTTTTAGCCTTATTTTCTTCTAAATACAATGATGGTCATCCAAAATGGATTTATTAGAAAACATCTTTGTTGGACAATGGGCTGTTGTGAAGTTACCCTGCTTCATAGCAGACATTTTTTCCCAGCAGGCCATTGTCCAACTAATCAGTCCTGACAAGCTTCTTGTGCTGTTGCCTCCTGACAACAATGTGGTGCTGTTTAAAGCAGAAAGACAAAGACACTTTCAGGGGCAAAGACAAACCTGCCTGCAGGGGAATGGCTCCGAACAGAAATATTACTRTTTGATTTGATTCAAAAACAAAAGTTTATTATGAGACCACTGAAAACATCATTATTAGTTTTTGTGTTTGTCTTCTCTCCATGTCTTTGTGAAGTATTTTTTTATGTAAGTCAAACAAATCCTGTCTTTAGGAATCTATAGACAGATTCAAACAAAACAAATAAATCAAAGTGTGAGTGAGTCACGGTGGGACAAGAATAGAGCAGGTGTAAATCTGGTTTTGGCCCGGCTCTAAAGGACAACGTGAGTTTGGTTGTATCAGATGTCTCCAAACAAGCCAAGAGAAAAYGACACTTCCTGTTTACAATCTGTCGCTCAGATCATCATTATATTAGCCTCCAACACAAAAGTTTCAGACAAACTGATGGAGAATAATTTACTGCCTTCTTCATTAGATATTAGAATATATTAAAAGAAACAATGGATACAAAAGATTTTGTGTATTTTTGATTTCCTGATGAGGCAAGAAGATGCTTTACTCGTGGCAATTGCAGCTTCACTTATTTCATTTTATTTGAAGTGAAACAAACTCTGCTCATCTGACTGATCTTCTATCTACTAACTTGATAAAAAGCAGAATGCAAGCACAGGACAGTGATATCCCTTAGCCAAAACAAAATACCTCATTTATAAAAAGCCTAACGTTGAAAATGGCTTGTTTTCAAAATTTAAACATGTTCCTCTAAATTTTCAACTTTTACACTTAAGAAAATCAACATCAGCTAAGAGCTAAATGCTAATAGCAGCTAATAGATTTGATTTCTTGCTTATTCATCTGAATRTTTCTTGACCAGTCTTGGGTTCAATGCTTTTCTGAGTTTTAGCTAAATGTTGTGATCATCAATTTAAACGTGACGCAAAATGTAAAGAAATTAGTTTGGTAAATTATTTTGTTGTTGTAACAATCCTTCTTTGCAATGAATCTTTTAATATAAAACGGGCACCTGATTGGCAGCACCTGGAGGTGCGAGTGACAATAAAAACATCCAAATAAASTGTTTGGCAGAGAAGATTTGGCAAATTGTTGCAGCCCACGTCCTCAGCTCTACTGCTCACCCCACAAATGCATGTTCCTTTCAAATGTGGCACCCTTTAACAGGGAAATTAACAGGCTTTCTAACAGCAYAAGATTTATTGCCAAGAAGCATTGTTACAACAAAGATGTAATCTTCCAAACACAAATGTACTTATTTTTGTGCTTAGCATATATAGTAATATATCAATAGTTGTGACCATATTTAGATTGGAAATCAAGGCAGATTATGACWAAACAAAATGAATGTTCTCCCAGACCTGAATGTAATCTTGTAAGTATTGTTTTTTGTATTATTTCAAACTTTTATTACAAAGTGTAATATTTTCAATCAGAATAAACTCTATTATTTCATCAAATTCACTGTTTGCTACTCCTGTATTAGCTCACCCTCATGCCTAACAGCTGGAAAGATGTTATCATAAAACTTTGTGTTTTTTTTCTTGCTAAACATCCCTACTGCAGCTTAAAATGTCCATTTTATCCAAATCACTTCAGTGTAACGTCTTAATGCTCGATCCTTCGTTCTTCTCTGCTGTTCTGTGTGTGTGTGTGTGTGTGTGTGTGTGTGTGTGTGTGTGTGTGTGTGCGCGTGCGTGCGCGTGTGTGTGTGTGTAGTGTGTGGCTGTGACTTGGCTCACAGCGGTTTCTTCATGAGGAACGGGGACTGCCTGTGCCCCGTGGACTTCCAGCGTCTCCACGGCACGCCTTGCAACAACTGTGGCGAGTTTGTCGAGGGGGAGGTGGTGACAGTTCTGGGGAAGTCCTACCACCCAGCTTGCTTTGTGTGCACCCTTTGCAAGTAATTCCGAATATTCTGCTTGTTTTTAGCTAAAGAGAGACTTTTTGTGTGGCTCATGTCTCTTTATTTCTCTGCCCTCCAGGCGGCCTTTCCCTGCAGGGGATTGTGTGACTTTCAGGGGTAAAGCCTGCCTCTGTCAGCGCTGCAATGAACCCACGTCGCCTTCACATCAAATCACTCATCCCAGCAGTGAGTGCACGCTCGAAACAGGAACATTTAATTTAATATTTCTATAAAAATATGCATTAATAGATGAAAGGTCATGATCTCTTAAGGACAGTGGATTATGACTTGGACGCTGGCCGGCTCATAGTTAGAGTCAGCTGTCTGGTTTTGTTTTATTTATTTATTTTTGGCTTTTGAGTCACGTCAGTGTCCCTAAACTGTCTGCATTTTTTTCATAATTCAGATTTTTCCTTTATCTTTAAAGAAAAGTTCAAATTTGTTTACAAAATAATAAAATCTTGACATTATGTTGGCCAAAACCATAAATATGTGACAAACCAAACATTGTCAAAACAAAATGTGGTTTTTCACAGAAAATAAGGGTAGAACTTGTCTGTATTTTGATCCGTAGGCCACAATTAGGCAACAGACTTTTTCAAACCAGTGACAAATTCTCAGCCTCAGCCTCTACTTTAACTTAGTCCATCTGAAGATTACTGATATAACAGATCAACAGAGGACTGAGACTCAATAAGCCTCTGATTAAAAGGATCTGTCTGCAGGATTGTACAGAAAAGCCGCTTATTAGGAAACAGCACTGTTACTGTCTGTGGTGTCAGACATAAAGCATTTAGTTTACACATATACTCAATGACTCAAACATGAATATATGTATGATTTTTTTTTCTTTCAGATTGTGCCGGCTGTGGCCGAGACATAAAGAATGGCCAGGCTCTGTTAGCTCTGGGGGGTCAGTGGCACATCGGCTGCTTCAAATGTAAAACCTGCGGTAGGGTCTTGAACGGAGAATACATTAGCAAGTAAATACCTTTCTCTCACTTTTCCCTTGCATTGTTTTTTTTTTCTTCCACAACCCATGAAATAAAACATTCAAAACAGGAAGTGTGGGATTGCATGGCTTATTACTTGTTCATCCTTCAGAGATGGCGTTCCCTACTGCGAGAGGGACTACCAGACTCAGTTTGGGGTCAAATGTGAAGCGTGTCAAAAGTTTATCACAGGAAAAGTCCTCGAGGTAAGACTCACTCATGCTTTAATCCCTATAGTATCWTTTATCCTCTCGTTCTGAAAGTTGCCATCTGTAGATGTAAAGAACTTGATGCAGTTTGCAAGAGCTGGGATAGAATAATGATTATATATGTTTGTTATGCTTTTATATGTTCTCAACAATGTTAGTCATTTTTGTGCTTGCTAAGATTTAATGGCTGTGGTGGTCATCTTAAATCAGATCAACTTCAATTGTTCACTCAAAAAAAAAAGATTTGATGAATTTAATTTTAAAATATACAGTATGTCAACTGTTTCCACTCAACTGAACTGAGTAAAGGTAACACATTTTCTTTAAGTAAATGTAAAGTAAACGCATTCTTTTTACTCAGGTCAACTGAGTGGAAACAGGTGACATAATTTTTAATTAAATCCATTAAATTTGTTTTTTGAGTGTTCATCACTTAATGACTACTAGAGTTTCATTAAAATTGGTCCACTGGTTCATGAGATATTTTAATTTGAATTTAATCAATGCAATAAATTAAATTTAGAGATTAATTTTTCCTAAGAATAACTCGTCCACGTCTCAGAAAAGTCAAAAGAATCAAAAACTCAAATCATATTGAAACAATTTTTATTAATTCACTTTGGTGCCTTCTACAGTCAGGGGCTTCTTCTTCAAGCAAACATTGCCAACTGTGAATAGAACAATTCTTCACAAAATCCACTTACAAGTCAGAAAAAAATCAGCTTTTCTCAATTAAATTTTCTTCCCCAGGTGCTTGAAACACACGCTCACCCTCTATCTAACACTCTTTCTTGGCCTGTCGGGTAGCATCTTTAATCTATAGCCCCTCCCACCAGATACACCATTTCTTCCCTTTATCCCAATAAACAACTTTTTATTTCTTTCAAGTAAAGTTTATTTATATGGAAGAGCATTGCATTCACCTAATAAAAAATAGGACTCCTTATCTCATAATTACGAGATATTATCTCATAATTATGAGATAAGATGTCAAAATTACGAGATCAGGATCTCATAATTATGAGATATTATCTCATAATTACGAGAAAAGATCTCATAATTATGAGATCCTAATCTCGTAATTATGAGATAAGATTTCATAATTATGAGATAAAATGTCATAATTACGAGATCTTTTCTCGTAATTTTGAGATAATATCTCATAATTATGAGATCTTTTCTCGTAATTTTGAGATAATATCTCATAATTATGAGATAAAATGTCATAATTACGAGATC